ATAAGCCAATATATAAACCAGTTAGAAAAATATGGTCCACTTGCATGTTTACTTTATTTAATTCCATACAAAACAAATTGTGCATGATGATTGTGATTTGGGTTTGGATAAAAGTTGAACTAAGTTTGACTTCGGTTTGCTTTATTACCCATCAACTGTTTATCTGACTGTGCTGAAGGGAGGGTTTACACATACTCGACGGGGTTGAAGCAGCACCTTTACATAAACCACCCGGAAATGGTGAAGGAGCTTAGCCAAACTAACACACTTGACCTTGGCAGAATCACGCACGTCACTAAACGCCTTAAGCCCATTCTTGGCGATGGCATCATCACATCTAATGGGCCTCATTGGGCCCATCAACGTCGTATCATCGCTCACGAGTTTACCCACGACAAAATCAAGGTCTTACATTTATCTCTTTTATATTTAGCACTCATATATATATTCACGTTTTTGTTACAAAATCAAGGTTTTTGCAATGTTGTTTTACATTGGAAATATTTATATATTGATTTGAATGGCTAATGTTGTGATTTGTGAAGGGAATGGTTGGTCTAATGGTGGAATCTACAATGCCAATGTTAAGCAAATGGGAAGAGATGGTGAAAAGAGGAGGAGAAATGGGTTGTGACATAAGAGTAGACGAAGATCTTAAGGATGTTTCGGCTGACGTCATCGCTAGGGCTTGCTTTGGGAGCTCTTTTTCCAAAGGCAAAGCGATATTCTCTATGATTAGGGATCTTACAATCGCCATCACTCAACGCAGTGTCCTCTTCAGATTCAATGGCTTCACGTAAGTCTCATCAATCAATGCAAAAACTATTTATCTTTATAAGAAATTGTAATATAGTTGAGTATATGGTGGCAAGTGATATGGTGTTCGGGAGTAAGAAGCGTGGTGATGTGAATATTGATGAGCTTGAGATGCATTTGGAATCTTCGATATGGGAAACGGTGAAGGAGAGGGAAAAGGAATGTGTGGAAGATCACAAGAAGGATCTAATGCAGTTGATACTCGACGGAGCGATGCGTAGCTGCGATGGTAACTTGTGGGACAAGTCAGCCTATAGACGCTTTGTGGTGGATAATTGCAAGAGCATCTATTTTGCAGGCCATGACTCAACCGCAGTCACAGTGTCTTGGTGCCTTATGCTCCTTGCTCTCAATCCCATTTGGCAGATTCGAATACGGGACGAAATCTTGAGTTCTTGCAAAGATGGCATCCCCGATGCAGAATCCATTCCTAACCTCAAAACGGTAAGTTTTTAAGTATATAATTACAAAGAAAACGTGATATTTGATTTCTAACATTTTATTGTTGTACGCTTTTTTTGGAGCCTAACATTTTCTTGTTTATATACATGAACATAATAAAAATAGGTGACAATGGTAATCCAAGAAACAATGAGACTATACTCACCAGCACCAAGTGTAGGAAGAGAAGCATCCACAGATATAAGACTAGGGAGCCTCGTGGTGCCAAAAGGAGTGTGCATTTGGACCATCATTCCTACCTTACACCGAGACCCCGAGGTTTGGGGACCAGACGCAAACGAGTTCAAGCCAGAGAGGTTCAGTGAGGGAATCTCTAAAGCTTGCAAGTACCCTCAGTCATACATCCCATTTGGACTCGGACCAAGAATATGTTTGGGCAAAAACTTTGGTATGATGGAAATCAAAGTGCTTCTTTCACTTATTGTGTCAAGATTTAGTTTTACTCTGTCTCCTACATATCAACACTCTCCAACCCATAAATTGCTTGTGGAGCCTCAACATGGTGTTGTCATTAGGGTTGTTCGACAGTGAGATCTGTCTGTGTTATGTGATGCGTTAGACTTTGATAATGAATTTTTATTTTCGAATTTCAAAAAATCTTATTATATATCTTAATTATGTGTTTTGGATAAGAGAGTTCTCCAAAACGTAATAATCCTTGATAGATTAAGGGTATAATTAGTATGGGAACTAACACTAAACTGAAAAGAAAATTATACTAATTAAATCCAACAAATAATATAACGATTCTAGCTTATATAATTTTTCAAGAATTGGATAAAATGATCTCACTTTTGTGATACGGAAAGACAAAACTTCATATTCCAACAACCCACAAGGTCCACAAGACTACAACACCATATTAACTTCCGAACTTTGCCTCATTATATGGCTAAATACACAAAGCCAAAGGCCATTATTTATTCAATGTTCTTAGGTTTGATCTATGGTTTAATTTTGTCATCAGAGAGATCCGAGTTTTCAATGAAATCTTAAGATCTTTTGTAAAGAGGAATTGTTAAAGTTATAGATAAATAACACATAAAGGTAATTATAGTATGGAAAATGCCAAGAAACTTGTGCCTGACTTATTTGTTTTGTATTATTCAAATAATGAGATTGTGGGTGGAAGCATGATAATTAACCTTTCCATAAAGTTTAGCCAACCAAAAACCAATACACCTTATCTTTTTCTCTCGTTC